ACTCATGTGTCTAGAGCTTCAGCTTTCTTACTGGATTGGACACCATTCCTTCTGATCATCTCCTATTTTATTTTCTCAACATGTCTCTACATGTTTTGCACACCAAAGTTGATAGAGATCTTCTGGCTCATCTATCTTTCTACGAATTCCTACACAGCAGCCATGAATGTTATGGAAGCCATCTGCAGTCTCAAGCCCAACAGAATCGCAAGAAAAGCACTTTACAACGTGGAGCAAAATGGCTGGAAATTTCCTACTGCCGATGATCAACTCCTGATATTGGATCTCGTCATCGTCGCATATCTCCCAAATGAGCAAGATATCATCATGGATAGAATCCATTACGCGTTAGATCACATTGTTTATCCACAGGATAAGATCCGGATCAACGTATTATATAATACACCCAAACCAATCGAGCCGCTCGAGTCCCAAATGAATGACCTCGCTGCAAAGATTCCCCGGCTGAGAATAATTAAAGTACCGGACTCTACTTCCAAAGCACATAATCTTAATTACTTCTTTACCTTATATACTGGAGCACAGATCATTGCCTTGTTCGACTGTGATCACTACACTCATCCATATGGACCACGATGGGCAGTCGAGAGATTCCTCGCCGACGATGAAGTCGATTGCGTGCAAGGGCGATGTGTAATTCAAAATTCCAGGGCAACTTTCTTAACGGGTATGATTGCAGTAGAATTTGACAAAATCTATGCTACATCCCATCCCGGGCGCGCTGCCTTGTTTGGCTATGGTCTCTTCACCGGTAAACACATTCTCATTCTCATCCTCTTCTTCATTCCAACCCATACACATCCACATCCATCCTCAATATTACTAACACCCTCTCCCCCAGGCTCCAACGGCTACTGGCGCGCCCCTCTCCTCCGCGATCTCAAAATGGACGCCAGCATGCTAACCGAAGACATCGACTCCGCTCTCCGCGCTCTCTCCCAAGGCGCCGTCTGCATCCACGAACCCAACGTCATCTCCTACGAACTAGCCCCCACCACCTTCCCCTCCTTTCTCAAACAGCGTCTCCGCTGGGCTCAAGGCTGGACGCAAGCCAGCGCCCGCCACTGCGTCCTCGCGTATCGGAAATCCGCACACCACACAAAACGCAATCTGCTTACGCGTTTTGGTTTGCTCTCCTTACTACTTATCCGGGAATTGAGCTATTATCTCGTGTCGCAATATACGTGTTTGATGATCAGTTTCCTGATCACCGGGTTTCCGCGCACAGGAACACAGTTGAAAGATTTGATTTTCTTCGAGTTTCCGGCTTCGGAATGGCTGTTTATTATCGGGTATGTGATCTTCTCTCTTTCTCTTTCTCTTTCACACACTCCCACGCCCCAACCCCATCCCTTCCACTCGAAACCTCCACTCCCTCCCCAACCACTCCAATCCCCACACTAACCTCCCACCCATCCAGAACCCTCTGCCTAATCGGCAGCCTCCTAATAACCTATTTTCTCCTCTCCGAATTCGTCAGCAAACGAATGATGCTCAAATTTACGCTTCTCTACCCGCTCTATCTAATACTCGGGAGTTGCATTGGGCTGTATGGACACTTTCGACAGATAGTGCGGTACTCGGCTTGGAATGCCACGGTGCGGACGTGAGTTTATTTGCGGAAGGAGAGACTGAGATGTTGTGCGGTATGTGTGTGTGTGTGTATGATAGGGGGTATACATATTCTCGCGAAGAAATAAAGCCATCTTCATTTTTGAACACTGGACACGGGATTCCCACGCTCCTGACTTTCTCCAATGTGATCTTTCCTCATACGTGGGAACAACGAGATAGATTCTTCAACTTCTTTCAATCGCAATCATACCTATTTATTTCGTGATATCAATCTATCAATCTATCAATATCCATCATACCTCCATCATACATGTATATTTCATTCACAAACAGCGACAGCAAAGTAGTGTCTGTGCCTTTGTTGATCATATCACTATCCCCCCCCATCAAAAAGGACTTTGTATTTTCCACCCACCCGCCTACGTATCAAGTATATCTATCACACACTTCATTCCTCTCTCTGCCCTCCTTTATTCATCTCCCGACCTTCGGTAAAGGTCAAGCTCTGTGAGTACCTAGCCAAAGACAAGCCAGCACAACGCGACCTTTCTAGCATGATCTAGACTACTCTCTTACCTACTCAATCCCCCAAACACACAAGCAAAGCATAAAATAAGTTTTGAAATATATTTTCTTCATTGTTCTTGAATCTATCTATGCTCAAAATACCACCGTATCCCATCCCATCCCATCGAATGCGCATCCAAAGCTAGCTTCATGGAAGCATGCTAGTAACTGACTGCCATGCGCAAACTCTCCCCACCGAGCGAAATAACAATTCAGATCTTTTAATTCCCAATAATTCCCACCGTCTAAGAACAACATTCTCTTCCCATAAAGTGCAGCTCCCCTTCAAACAACAAGAAGGCACTCTACTTCCAACTTTATCTCCATCTCCATGCACGCGAAGAACAAGCAAAGCAAGGCAATTCCGGCCTCGCAATGAAAGGAAAAGCGATGAGCAAAAAATCCAATCCCGTCAAACACCCATATGTAAAATTCTCCCTAACCAGAGGCCCTGTTCCCAGAAGGAAGTACTTTGATGTACTGTAAAAAAAAAATGAATGATCCAAAAACGCCTCGCTGATGTGTCGCATGTGATGGGAAAAAATATAAGCTGTCGAATTTTTCGATGCTGGTCCTCTGGTATAAATCATAAAGTGTACCTGCCCTAACGCCTGTCCAGAGGACAAAATAAATCGTAAAATCATGTTTAAGGAGAGTAAGAAGATGGTCATCCAATAAATACATGGAGGACAAGTGGGGAATAGGGATGTGAAGAATACCCGGTATCAGACTTGTAGATCATCAAGAGAGCGCTTGGTGACTTCTTCACATTTGAATCCTTATTCCCTCCAGTAATAACAGAAGATATGTTATTTTTTGCTAGCCTTTTTACCCAGTCGCATGAACCGAGTCTTTAACCACATCATGAGTTTTGTCCAAGCATTGTGTGTTTTCTTTTTGGTATTTGACATTGCAGTATGACTTCTGTTCGGCGAACCCCGACTATGTTCCTCGGAGAGAAAGGGAGGGGCAGCAACTGTTGCAGTATTGTAATTTTGTCCAAAAATTCCTTCACTTTTCTCATGTATAGTAAGATCAGACTTAGATCGCTTTGATCGAGTAGGTAAATTGTCGCTGGCAGAAGAACGGCGATGTCCCCTTTCAATCTGTCTTGCTTCTTTTTGCTGCTTCTTTTCCATTGCTCGAATTTCCTCCCTCGCTGCCTTTTCTTCTTTCGCCCTCTCTTTTTCTTGGAACTTGCGACGTGCCTCTTGTATTGTTTCCGAGCGCAGACGATTATCAACCTCACTGCGACTCCGAAGACGAAATCCTTCCATAGATTGTCGGATAGATGGGGAAGTGGGTGACATGGTGTCGAGTGGTGAGGTTACTTCAGGGGACAGAACAGGACTTGTACGTGATGCTGCGAGAGCAAGTCTTGATGAAGTCGGAGGTAGCTTGGTTTGAATTCTTAGGGTTTGCTGAAGCATAGGATTTGTTGAACCAGTCATTGAGTTTGCTTGATTTGACAAATTGGCTGTACTACGGAAAGTATGTCGTAACTGATCCTCATCTTCGGTAAGTGCGATGCTGCTGTTTGTTGCTTCACTTTCGCGAATTGAGTTTTGATAGGAGGCCCCCAGAGGAGGAGTGTAGGGTCGCGGGGTTTGTTGGAAAGGATGTACGAATGAGCCGGAACGCTGAGCACTGCCTGTTGTTGCTATTGAAAATTGAGATGTGCCGCTGGTTGAACGAGCATGAAACCCTCTTCTGCCTCCTTCTCGACTGTTGTATGCAATGTCGTGAGAGGAACGGGAACTGTAGCCAGCGCCATAGTCGAATATTCCGAGGCCATCTTGTTGTTCCGCCGCTGGCCGATCCAAGTCTAGTGAATTCTTTTCGCTTTGTATCAGTTTCTTAAAAACGGGTTTGACCTTAGACCTAGATTTAGATCCATGATCGCCATGGTAACTGGACATTGTTTCGATTGGGTACGGTGAGAGCACAAAAGCAATAACAAAAACAACGATAAATAGCAGGCAATAGCAATAACTAACACAAATTCAAATCAAAAGAGACACAACTCTCGAGTCCCTTTACAGAGACACTATATATCATCTACTTTGCATTACTGCTCTGCAGAATGAATGTTGTACAATACAAATCAAGTGAATAAAGATTGATCGATGCACGATACAAAACCAGAAGGAGAAGGAGAAGCAGAGCCAGACCGCCGACCGCCCCTTTGCGCGAATCCGGTATGGGGTTATTGGAATGTAATCGGTGAATCGGTTCCGGAATTTGCGATAACGATAACCCCTTTGATTTTTGGTTGTACCGATATGTATGTGTGGATGAAAGGATGAAAGGATGAATGGATGAATGGATGAATGTATGAATGTTTGTATGTATGAATGTTTGTATGTTTGTATGTATGTATGTATGTGTGTATGTGTGTATGTGTGTAGATAATAAAATGTCAATACCTATAAATGTGCTTGAGTTTCAGTTGAATTGTTGGTATTGAAATTGGTGTCGGTGTTGATGTTGGTAGTATATTTTTTTTTTCTCAAGATGGTTAGGTAAGGAAAGAAGGATATTGATTGAAAATTGGGTTGAAGTTTGGTTTGCTTGTGTGATGTAGTGTGTTTTGAGTGAAGTGAGAGTGAGGATTGATTGTTGGATTTGTTGGATTGGGTTTGGGATTTTGGGTTTGGGATTAGATAGAGAGAGAGAGAGAGAGAGAGAGAGTAATGATGAACTGAGTAATGATGATAAGAAAGGTTTGAGAAGTAATCCATCCGTTGGACCATATAACGATAATAATGATAATGATAATGATAGTAATATTGAAATTGGGAATCGAAACAGACAATGAATCAGCCTCCTCCAGTCAATCAATCAATCAATCTAATCATTTGCATTTTCAGCATACCTGAAGCGGCGCAGTAGTGAGTTAAAAGGGAATCTGGAGGGCTTTCATACGACGCTTTCTTTCTTTTCTTCAAAGCCATCCAACTTTCTAATTCACCATCTAAGCCAAATCCCTCCAAGCCCCGCTCCAAGCCATCAACATCTTCCGCCCACTCTAGAGCAATGTGGACGCGTTCGATGATACTGTCCCGTCCTGTGTAGTTATTGTGTAATTCTATACGTATGGTAGAGTGTGAGATAGCTGGTAGAGCAATAAGAGTAAGAGTAACCAGTTAATTATCTGTACTTCGTGCGTACTGCACGGTACCAAGCCTCACAGATATCTCACAGGTATTCTTCATACCCAGCCTTTGCCCAGACTCTAGAGACTTAATCGGCCGAGACTCCGACTTTTCATTGCTCACTCATCACTTACTCATTGATGTTGTGTCCGGCTTTTCCGAATGCGTGCTGTGCTTTGAAAATGTTGGCTGGATGGCTGGATGGCTGGATGGCTGGTTGGCTGGTTGGCTGGTTGGTTGGTTTCATGGCAGCATGAATAATAAGCGATGAAAAATGTAATTGGAAACGAGACAAGACAAGATGATGGCTTCAATCGTTTTGAGAAAGTGGGAGTTTAGTTCTTTAAAGACAAAAAACCAAGGTCATGGTCATTCATGGTCATGGGCAAAAGCCATAGGTTAGATTAGGACCAGTGGTTAAGTGTGAAATGTGATGATTGTAAAGGCTGAGATCATTGGTGCTTTATATTAGGTTGAACCTACTTCTGGCCGGCTGTGTCTGTGTGCGCACTATGTGAAGGTCTGGAGGATGGGAAGAAGAAGAAGAAAAAAATTGTCGGAAGTGGGTACCAGTGATGAAGATCTCGACATGGTTGATGATTGTGTTATGTGTTATGTACTTCGTACAGGTAGCTATAGTAGAAGAAGGGAATGGAAGCGTGTTGTACACTTTACGGTATGGAGAAGAACTGGATCGAGTCAATTGAATGAAGATTCATTCACTTCATCCATCTCATCAATTCATCAATTCATCAATTCATCAGCTCATCCATCTCCCTTCAACTTGACAACACAGTCCTATCTATTATTAACCACTTCGGTTGGTCAAACATGTGGCTACGTACACAAGTAGAGATGGATATACTGTACATGTGAAAATGAGGCTGATAGAGACCCCTTCATTTGATGGTGGCCGTCGTGGTCGTGGCAATTCACCTCGGAAGTGCGTTGGTGGATGGATAGATGGTGGATGGTGGATGGTGGATAAGGACCGCCCGTTTTCCCATTTTCTCCGATACGGGGAAGCACTGCAACGGACCATTCTCAAACGGCCAAGTCACCCATTCATGTCGGTCGCATGTTCTGTCGTGGTCAAATATCCGCTTCTAGTCCTATACCTTCGTTTGTCTGGACTGCGTGATGAAGGGGCATGTTGGGATATGGAACTTGATCAGTAGGAACGAGCAGCGAGAAGCATTATCGTAAGTTAGTCTGGTAAATCATATACAGGAGGAGTGATGCCGGCAGATATGGAGTACATCGTCACAGATTTATGCGGAAGTCTGGAGTAGGTAAAGTATCTACAATACATATGTAATATGTATCTAGCGAGGTAGGTATGTATCATTCAAAATTCAAACCCAGTCACCTACTCCTACACCCACACCTAGGTCCGTAAGAGCCGAAAAGCGACTGGACGATCGAAATCTACCGGCCATGAATTGCCTAAACCGGGACAATTGAAACTCTGAACGGAAGTCCATATGTACATCTCATTTTAAGTACCTAGCAGATGCTAAAGACGACGCAAGCTGTCTCATGATAATTTCTAGTATCTACCTTATTTCAACATTGATCTATCAAGTCACATTCGAGGGCCGCTTATTGCAGATACTACCATAATAATAATGCATGCAAAAAATTCTTCATGCTTTCCGACCTCGCAATTTTGCATATTTTCACGTATAATTCCGTCGGCCGTTCAACACAACAAATGTATCACTGAGTCGGGGAATTTATTCCTTTCCATGCAATGTCCAACGTCCGTCGAAGCCACTATCACACAATAGTGCCACTCCCCACCATCTAATATCCAGTCACCTGCCCAATGTAGATCCAATCTTTGTAGTATTTCCGAGTGCAACGGTACGAAACATTCTCAAGGTAGTACAGTCACATATGAAAAGGGTGAGCCGTGAGTCTTCACATCGGACATCTATATACTCTCGGAAAACTACGACATATATGTGAATCTGTACGGGAAAGAATGCAATGTACCTGGGATAAGTTGCATGAACTCAATGGCCGTGCTCGGGTCCTTCACCTGATTCTGTCCATGTTTGGGCGTTCAAACACTGGGGACTTTTTGGTAATTTCTCTCGTCTCCCTTGTTTTGATGACGGCAAGGAGATGTACTAGGGAGAGAGAGTTTTCTCTATCGATCACTTGCATGAAGTTGGAGCTTGCCTCCGTTTCTCTTTTACGAACCCTCCCGAAAAAAAAGACGCAATTCGAAAGTATAATTGTTGACGAAACATGCTGGTCGAGGAAATAAAAATGGGAACTAATCAAGTGCAGATCACGGACTTGAGGCCATTTTGTAATGGATCATGGTGACCTTCCGTTACCTTATCTTGGAGTATCAAGGATATTCCTCACCTCAGGGTTGAGGGTTCGAGAAAGTTTATGTACATACTTTCGCTTTCGTACTGGTCTACTGGATACTTCCTGCAACATGTGCAAAATTCTTCGCTTCAGCCCCATTTTCATTGCGTATGCGACGATGATGCTCAAAGATGGCGCACAGCAAGCAAGGCTGTCAGTCAGAATCATAATCGTGATTACCGTGTTCCTACCTCGATCCTTTCGTCTTCGCCTTGCTGGCGCCTGTTAGTTTGTTGTGGTCCCTTCGCGGACTTCTCTCCGCCCATCCCACTTGGAAAGGATTCCAAATGCATTTCCGCACATTGCTCGTTGACATGCAGATAATGATGATGATGAGGATCAACGATGCATGGATGAAGCTTGTAGCTCTAGATCATGTACATACCACACTAGTCGATTTGAGCAGCTTTCTCAAAGTGTCAAAATCTAAACATCCTGAGTTTAAGCATCAGCCAAGGAGTGGATGATGCTACGATGCATTGATGATGGAGGGGTGGAGGAAGCAAGATCATCCATCCTAGATAGGCCAGTTGAGAACAGCACATGCCACCAGGTGTTCACTGCCGTCCCGTTGTAGTATCCCCAACTTACAAACATGGATACTTTCTGCAGTATGTGTACATTGTACATGACAACAATATTGAAGGTACATGGGAATATGTCGCTTCCCATGTTATGTCACTCGGGGAGGCAGAGTTCATGCTTCCGTACCCAGATTCAAAGACAACCTCTGGTAACATAGAAAATAGAAAATGCCAGAGCTCATCTAGAATTTTTTTTGTGGCGGGTCAATCTCGTTATCTGGAGTGGAAGATAGATGTTGCATGATGGTTCTGAAAGTCACTCTGTTAATCTTCGGTCAATCGGCCATGTGATGAGAGTGAATGGTCATAGATATGTGAGTACAGTAGTGTTAGCATTAGACATATGTACAGGAGCAGTAGTAAATCAAAGTAGATAACCCAGCCATCTCGAAGCTATATCTTCCTATCCTATTGCTATACGGGAAAAGAATACGAAGTCAAGCCATAACTACTCATTAGATGCCAAAATAATGTAGACCTACCACCGAAATGATCAGATCTTGACTAATACTACTAGCTACAACGGTACGTACCGTAGTTGATAGTAGTACGTACAAAGAGTATGTAACTAGGTAGTGTTTGCTAACGATATCCATCCAAGACAACAGGCAGGATTCTTTCGCCAATGGCAATTCGACATCAATAAAAGAATCAGTCTATTTGTTAGATTTGTTCTCAACTTCTCCACACTCTTTGCGCGCTTGAACTCACGGACTCGGCCTCGACCATAGTGTCCACTATTCTTAGCATTTTTTAAATTTGTAGTCAGCATATAGAATAATCACCTCGAGAAATTCATGGTTAACCAAGCTTACCAAGGTATCCAACCCCGCTCAATCAATTGGTCTTGTCTCACTTTGTCTGTGCCGAATAATCTACCTATCCACGGCCCTTGCCTGCCAAAATGGAAATAAATAATAATGTTATTTGTGCCACGGACGTTCTACGAGTCATCTAGTCTATCCCATATCTCTCGGTTTCTCCTAATCAGCTAATCCATTAATAAAATGGTGTATTAGATTAGATTTAGACTCGGGACCCACGACTGATGCGGAATTAATTGATATGAAGGCGGCAAATGCGTAAACAAGTAGAATAAACATCACTTTCAAGCTTCGTATTGGTTTTGACATGGAATAACTGGGGTATCGTATAACATACAATCAGAGAAGGGATAAAAAGACGTTGAAGCATAGATCAAGCATTTGGCAAGCATGTTCAGGATATTTGTTACTCCGAGACAACGAAACCGTCGGAACAATCGACTTTAACATCTACTGGAGGCTCGGACAATGATCCGTACAGTACCTCACATATCGAAAGGATCAGGATTTGCTTGGCTAACCTAAACTAAGCTATGGGTAATGGAGAGATCACATTGCATCAAGTTAAAATGGGGGAAAAAGAACGACATGGAGAACAACTAGCTATAACCTTGAAGTTGATGAATGGTAACCATAACACATGATGTGAATGATTTGAGTAGTGATAGCTTCGCCACGAGCACCTTTTCCGGATTGTGTCAAAGTTATCGATAGCTGACATCTATTAGATGGTCATCCCTAGCTCGTGATGGCTCCGAATTTTCACTAAGCCTCTCCCTCGACGTATGATTGCGAGTGTTTCGATTTGATCTCTGTAGCATTCGGCTCTATAAACTCCATGACCATCATTTCCACCAAATTGCCCCTCATTGCGGATGCGAAGAGGGAAGGGTTCAATTATGCTCATCATTTTCATGCCGTGATACCCTGGTCTCTATAGCTTGAGATCGAACTACGGCCACCTTTTGGCAGTTGCATTCGAGGTGACAAACTTAGAGATAGTTGGAGCCGTGGAGGTTGACCAAATTCCACCATCCGAAACGTCTCGTCGTTGAGACTTCCCTGTAGAAACACTGGAGAAGTATATGAAGCTTCGGATCATATTCGCTAATATTGATGAAAGTGTCGCAGGCGTCTTTTTTAAGAGGGTTAAGTTTTCCGAAAGCAGGCGCCTGCAGCGGCCGATGTGTTCTCGTTTAAAAAATACCCTAGTAGACCACAATTGCGCAAATGATAGACCAACCAGCAAACACTGACGAGTAACTAGTGTGATTTTGTATAGGCAATTTAGCAAGCATAAGAGCAGGCATATTATCATAGACAGGCATCGTGTTCCTCTACTTTTCGTAGGTACGTTTGTACCTAGGTTCTTTATACCTAGGTGATTCTATTCAAGTCGACGATCCATAGAAAGCGGAAAGATAGGAATTGACAAGATTTGGCTATGAATTCAGGCTGAAAATCATCTCAATTTGACTCGTTTCTTATGATCATTGTTACAATCGTCTCAAGTGAGATAATTAGAGGACCATTGGCCATTCACGCTTGCACCAAATGCAAAATTGCATTGAGGAATTAATCGTACAGAATCGCTCGACTTCCCTTTCCCTTAAGTACGTACCATATCAGATATTGATGTACCATATGCATATTTTGTTCCGTTTTTCCATACTACTTTTCAAGGTATCCTGAACCTATGCAGGCCCTAAGCATTTTAGACCACCCCTACTTGCTGTACAATCCACCTAGCGCACACCACCCACAGGACTTTACTCCACCACCAACATTCATTCTTCCTCATCCACAATGCCCACCACACGCGCTTGAGGTCCAGTCTTAATTATTTTAAATTCTTGCAGTCTTACATATCGAGTTAGAGGGTATACGATTGGATTCATTTTATCCCTTCCCCCTCCGTTATTTCCAAAAAGTGGCACCCGGCAAGCGTTACTGAACCGAGTGTAATTCAACAACTGGTGAAGGGGAAGAAAAGTCGACTAAAAAGATTAATCGACTAGCAAGCTAGATAGCCGGACGGACTAGACTAGACCACTAAGTAATAACTAACCACTATTGCTCTGTACGAAATACATGTTATTCCGAGGATTATTTGTGTGTGAAATTCTGGTACACTTTTTCCTGCCTTCCCAAAACAATCATCCAACAACTCTTCTCCCCACCCCACCCCCAGTAAAATACCCAGATTGTACAAGTACATCCCGAGAGCTTAACAGACCCAGACCAGTTCTGGTACTAAATGGCTCTCATGGCTCGAATCGCTCATTCTCATCAAATTCATGGATGGCTCAAACGGCTTAAATGGCACACCAGGCGCACATTTCGCTCAATGCTCGCAGAACAAGCGCTGCTATTTGTCTCCAGATTTTGATCCACTCTACCCATCTCGATCCCTGATTCCTTGATGCATCCGTCCCAGTCTTCCTAATAATTGCTAACGCTTGATTTTCTATGTAGTAGAAGACAAGGACAAGAGGGAAAAATTATAACTGCTCGGGTCCAGCCGTGTGGTCTTCTTGTTGGCTCAGTCATATATAGACCTCGTCCAGACCCTGATGTCCACCTTCGAAGCAGTATGACATCTCATCGTCTTTCTCTTCTATTGTGGTAGTGTGTCATTCTTGTTTTAGGGAACTGGCTCCTCGCAACTGTATATTTGATCCAATTGAACTCAGGTACACGAGGATGACAGTCGTTTGGTGATCTCTTCGTCTTTGTCCTTCGTTGGTTGCTTGAATATATATTGGCAGGTTTCTTGGGAAAAGTTTTTTTGTATTTTGGTCTTTGGGAGCAAACAAAATAAAGAACTACCATACATACATACCATATCCTTTTATCACAATTCGAGGATTTTCATGGCTGGATTCCAGTGAAATCACTATTCCTCCCAAAGAAAGAAGATTTTTTCCCTTAATTTTTCTGAGATACGAAGAATTATTTCTACCTGATCTGACGGGCAAACATCTCGAACAACCCAAGCTCAGTCCTCCTCTTACGACTCCTCCGTTTTCGCGCATCATCACCACCACAAACTGCCCTCGAGACCTCCATTCCACGTCCTTTCCCTCCACGACATATACCGGCATCGTTTGACCAACATCGAAGACACTGGCCCAATCTTGTTTCTATACGTTGCAGCCCACCCCTTTTGAGGAAATTTTGAAAATTGACGAAATCCTATCATATATGTGTTACGGGTCTTCTATAAAATTCTTCATAATATCATATCAAACCGGGTCAAAATCGCCCACTTCCATAAACCCTTTTTTCGACCTCATCATAAAAGACTTCTATTCCCCGGCTGTCTTGCTTGAAACATATACGAGTCTTACACGCCCAATTCGGTTTGCCACTTCTCCCGCCTATACCTCACGAATTTACAATACCTACTCAACTGGTCCCGTGTGACGTTGAACCCGTTCCTCACTTGACTTCCGTGGACCTTGTCTAAAAGAAGCTACTCGTTCTCTTTCACTCCATACTCTATTACTTTAATTTTGAGTAGCAAAAATGGCTTTGCCTAGTCTCGATATATGGCAATGGGCCTTCTTAATACTATGGTAAGCTTAGTAAAATCTCTCAGTCTCGCCTACCCTGCTTCTATTTCTGTTCCTGCGCCACACAAGTCGAAGACTAATTGTGGGAACAAACAGGCTCCATCGTTATGTCAGATTTATTGTCAATACTATCAGCCATTGGGTTTACAGAACAGTCCCAATACCATCAAATCCTTCTTTCACATCGAAAGATGTGAGCGTCATAATACCTACGATCCATAATAATTTCGACGAATTGAGAGATTCTCTGCAGAGCATCCTCGCATGTCAGCCAGCCGAGCTTATCCTCGTCACTACAGCCGACAAATACCAAAAGCTCAAGTGCTTTTCCAAATCCTTGGAAGCTAACAACGTCAGCGTTTACCACGCACCAATCGCAAACAAGCGAATTCAAGTATGCGAGGTTATTCCAAAAGTGAAGACGCGCATCTTGGTAATGGCAGATGATGATGTCACGTGGCCAAGAACAATACTACCCTGGCTACTTGCACCCTTCGAGAATGCAAAGATTGGTGGTGTTGGCCATGTCAAAGAGTCAAGCGAGTACGCAACGGCACCTTTGCCGAACGTGCATTCAATTGGCTTGGAGCTGCTTATATTGAAAGACGCAACTTTGAAATTTCGGCAACCCATGGTATTGATGGTGGAACCTCCTGCATGTCTGGGCGAACTTGTGCATTCAGGTCCGAGATTCTGCAAAGTCCTCTTTTCTTGGATGGATTCAAAACAGAGAGATGGGGTCAATATCAACTCAATGCGGATGATGATAACTTTGTCACGAGATGGCTTGTCGCAAATCAATGGTCGACATGGATTCAATACAACCGAGAGTGTGAAATTGAAACGACACTTGAGAACAATTTCAAGTACTTGTACCAATGCTCGAGGTGGGCTCGTAGTAATTGGAGAAGTAACTATACTAGTTTGGTTACGGAAAGACATGTTTGGCAGTAAGTCGGAGCCCTTTTTTGTCAGGTCACGAGGTGAATATTTTTGCTGATCATCTCTGCGTACAGTCAACAACCATGGTGTGTCTATGCTCTGCATATTGCCACCTTTACCTCCTTGTCCTTCGCTTTTGATCCTCTCATCATCTACCTCTCATTGAAGGCTACTGCATCTTGGTCTCCACAGAATCAGATGATTGCAGTGATTGCCCAATTGGTTTTCATGCTTGTAACGAAAGTCGTGAAGTTGATCGGCCTCTTCATTCGAGAACCAAAAGATATTGGATTCCTTTCAATCTCTATTCTCTTTGGATATTTTCATGGGTGGATCAAATTATATGCACTGCTGACACTTCGGATGGTAAGCTAGTACTCCGCTCTCACATGTTTTCCCTCTTTGGGCCCCAATTCAATTTTAGATACTAATAATCCTTGTACAGACTTCGTGGGGTAGTCGTGCAGATGGAGACGCCAATGATAGCCATCGTATGAGTCGAGCACGCCGCAGCGAAAGCATCACAAATCCACCGGGCAACCATCCCTTTCTCCCTTGCTATACAGACAAAGTGCAAATGGAAGCACCCGAAATTATCGAGAGCTCTCAACACACCTCCTTATCGGAAAAGTCGAGCTGCGCGCTGGTACTGGAGCCTGACCCCTACCCCCATTCGGATGATGAGTACAGCGAGACTCTCTTCGATGAAAGTCATACCGACTCCGCTTCCGAAGCTTCTTACGATGCAAATGATTTCCATGATGATGTCTTTCTTTCTCATTAATTTCCTGATGAGGCAGTTGTAGGAAAGGATTCCCTCCTGAGACGCTAGTGCAGCATTGTCCTGGGGCCGATCGCTTTCCTACTGTTTGTCATTTACATGCGTTGTCTTATTGTTTCAACGTTTCTTCAAATTTCCGGCCGGCGTACGCGCTTGTGCATTCAGCATATTGATGATTGAAAAGATTAACTGGGTTATTGGTTTCTACACACCACATATTCTTGCATTTGTTTTTGGAGTTTATTTTTCATTTACTTTTCTTGAAAAGAGATGAGAAGACTTGGTAGCTACTTTAGGATATCGATGTACATATGCACATCCCACACCTCAGAATTTGTTTATTTTTCTTTCTATTTATGTCGTTTCTATGTAATTCATTCCAAATTTGATATTTTCTTCATTTCCCATTTATTTACTAGGATGGAAAATTGGTCTACAAAAGTGTCGGGGTGATGGGCTTTAAGGACGGTCTCGAAAAAGAAAAAAATCCTTTCCGATATGTTCATTTCATTTTCTTTTCCTTCTTACTTAATTATCGGGATGGATTCGAAGGAGGAAAGACTCTCATACAGAGGTCCACAATCAAAATGGGAATAGGATCTATGAGAAAATAATATTTGGTCACGGAAATAAAGGCATCATGACAGTGATCTGATCTGATCTAATCAAATCATGTAGAATAGAAAGATAATTAGTTCAATAGCATATGGATGCGATAAGATGAGATGGTCTGCATAGGAGACTTGGAAGCTGCAAGCATATAGTTTGAATCTTCAATATCAAGGTATCGTTCGTTTGTTCAAACTTGACATCAACTGACGATTGAAGATGCGTGTGAAACCCAACCTATTAACAGCCCGTACATCTTGGCCCAATTTTATTCCATACTCATTCCGCACCCTATAGAAAATTGCTCAGATACAGACACCATATTTCACCGTCTCTCTCATATGTACATAAGTACCTTGTGCGTTCATTCTTTGGTAAGAGATAACTATTGGAAGAACATTCGGCCTGACCGATCAGCAAAGCCAGGTGCCAGAGTCTACCAAATCCGGCAAGCCAGAGAAAAAAAACGCAAGGCAAGTTGGGATGAAACGGTTAGATAATGAAGGAGGCAGGTTTGAAGGGTCATGGATGTGTAACGCATATGCATATATATGTACTGCTACCTGCATATGCTTGAATGACAATGGCATATTCCTTGGCCTTGGCCTTGGCGTGTCTAATCGGAAGATACCCAGATGGTGGGGAGGTGGGTATTTCATTTGCTCAATGTTGCGTTGAGTTTTGATGGATCTGGATTCCGGACTGAAATGGAAAGGCAGAATGTTGGACTGGGAAACGATGATGCGATGTACGGAACTGGAAAGACGTTTTGAGAAGATTCCAATCAAAGGTGGAAAGATGTTCAGACCAGACAGGTGTTCATCATTCATAGCCGTTGTAACGTTTATGCAGTATGCATGCATATGCAGTGTATTACAGGGGAAGGGTGGTGCGGTTAGGGGATTTTGATTTGTGTGGGAAAATGGCGCTGGGGTGTTGAGTGATTACCCAGGTATTTATGTGGTCTCGAATTATGTTCTGGACTGAGGTGGATAAGTGATTGAAGAACCACATAGGTATCTTCAAGCATACATACGGTGTGCATGTTGTGGGATTTCTTTGTAGGTAATAGCACTTCCCGATTACTTTGCGTTGCATCTAGTAATTGCCATCGACAAGCGGAGAAACAGGAGTGGAATTATTCAGGGCCATGTTGGATATACAGTTCTTACATTTTTCATTCCAATCGGTATATGCATGGTAAGACGGAGTGTGCCAGCCAAACCGGTATTCGCTCGGGACTTCACAAACATCGAGAACATGCGAGGGTACACGGAAAACGGAGAAATGGGAGAAAAGGGATCTTGCGTTGCAATCGGCAAATCTCTCATGCAATTACATACATTACATCCGAATGTCACTCGGCATCTAGATACCCTTTTCGTCAGTGGATGATGTTTCCCATAAGATCGGATGTTGGTCGCCAAGAAGGACATTTATCCGGCCCGGGACCGAAGAAAGAGTTGAATGAGATAATGAATGAATAAGGGAGCTGATAGCCCCGTTCTGATTGTGGGGCCGAGTTGCAATTTGAGTCATCCCATTTGAGTATATTGAGGTTATGGATGCAGCGAAATTTCATATACGTTGTGTCCAAAGTGTGATATTATTGGGAAGTAGGTAAGTGGAGTTGGGGGGGGGAGTGCAAGGAAGCGAGGTTCAGGCTATATCAAAACTCGGCAAGCGTGAATAGGTAATGTTCGAGCCTCGTAAGAATGAGTGAAGAGGATCTAAATATGGAAATCGAGACGCACCTTGAAAAATTCAGAAGCTCTGGATAAATATCATTATTTTTGTGTCTTTCATGTCCATAGGGGACAAAAATGAGGTGAAATAGATGAAGAGAATGCAAAATGTCATATTCACATGTTTGAATTTTGTCTGTCCGTAAATGAAAAGCCTTGGATTATATGACGAAACCACGACATGTGATCCGAGAAAATGGAGATGATTGGAGAAAGTGGGAATGGGGGCACGCTCTGGATTTGGCTTATTTTTTGGCAAATGTGGGTTTCTTGAAGCATGAGGCTTTCACACACTATCTCAACAGCGAGGGTGTGTTGAGTGAGGATTAGCACGGGAAGATCGATGTACAAGCAAGAAAAGAAAAACTGAGGACTGTTAAAAACTTAGGTAACAAGCTTGAATCGGATGGACCTGCATGGATGGCGTCTGGGTGTTACATGTGCTTCCTATGAGAATACGTATGATCTGGGGAAGCACTTGAAAAACTGTCATCAAAGAAATTACAGTATGCTGAAGCCGTTTGTTAAACTGGGAAGTAATAAGGGTTTGTGGAGACGATGTATCATTTCTGGCGTGGTCCGCATATGTCACAACTGTTGGTGATGGAAAGAAAGATTCTACCATGGTCTATCTCGTCTAAGACATTTGTCTAGTAGATATAAATACAGGGAATCTGTGGGAGACTACTTGAATAGGGAAGGAAGTTATGGAGACAATTCTTTTTGGGACCGTTTCTTTGTTGATATTGAGGCGCTTGTGTAGGTACATTCTGCGAGGCAGTCATTTGCCTATCTGTCAGCATTTGCGGTTAAAATGAAGCATACTGATATACTAGTAAGGATGGTAACACCATTATTTCAAGGATTTTGGGGCATATTAAATCTTCACGGCCTTTAGACGCGCTAGGGTATTATAGATGATGAACTAGACGGGGATCAAGTAATTGGGCCGACTTCAAATAGATCAATGCCGAGGGCAAGGCTCTTCAGATCAAATCATCCACTAGTTCGATTTGAATATCATGGTATGCGCATCGATTGGACCCTCTTCATACGAATTGTTCAAGGAAATCAGCAGAACATACGAGGCCTTTGAAGATTGAATTAGGTCATTGGAAAGACAAGACCTGCTAAGAGAGCTATCGGCTCTTCGGTCAATCAAGTGCATTTATCTAGCCGAACAAAATGTGAATTTACCGATTCACGGCTTCATGACTCGACATTACGAGTCAAAAATCTTGAACTCCTTCCTTATCGCGCTTTTCTCGGTCAATGGTCAAAAACTGATATTTTAATCATCCTTGCTCATAGTTATGTAGCTTGGCCGTCAATAGCGTCATGTAATTCATCCATGCGACATGAAAAGATGGTCGCGCATGGAATTTCGGTCCTAGTTGTTCAATCATGTCACGGAGTAATTGAAATTCCCTCCGTCGACAATCAAGACCAATGATTTCCCCATGAAGCTTTAAAAGATCAGATGTGAGTAGTATTGAAGGAAATGACTTTATCCTGTTTCAAGTACAGAGTGTCGTAGATCGCAATAAAGTGCTTACTGTCGCATTTTGGTAAGAAGCTGTAGATCCTGAACGGAAGTGTCGTCACTAAGCTTCATCCCTCAAATGCACGGCGTGATATCCTTAAAAGTACCGCATCTGTGCACCACGTGGCCTGAGCCAAACCCACGCAGCCATGCATGAAATCCCGACATGTACCCCCTAAGGATCCGTTTGAGATATTCCAATCCTAGGCTGTGTCCGATCGGATCGTAGTCCCGTTCTCCCCTGGTTTAAAAGACCCGCGTGAGAGTATCAGCCTTCGCTTTCTACCCTACCAGCTAGAAATAAAATGTTTTCCTTCATAGCCAATGTGATTTCCCCTTGCCCGGTATAAACATAGGCAATTGTATCAACCCATGCTTCCGGGCTGGGTAAAGGAAGATCAATGGAGTCACCTCTACGAATATGCCCTGATAGCATGAGAGCGGCCAAAACTGGGAGATAATGCAAAGCATATTCGACATCTGGAATGAATCATTAGTCATGGTATACATTGTCATTGTACACAAGACACTTACGGATCGGCACTGCCACGTGATTGGAATTGATTTGGCATCTGATATGGTCCGCAATCCCGCGTCGATTTTGAATGGAAATTTGCTGCAAAGATAACCGTCGAAGCCTACTAGACCTTCTTACGGCTGTCGAATCTCGTGGATGATCTCGATTGGATTGGGGCATTGGCATGTTGTCTCGAAGTTCTTGAATGTCAACTTCTCTTTGAATCCAAAAAGGTTTTCGTTCGATTTCTCTAGGTAATACTCTAGCACGTATTGTCGCCTGACCCGATATTCTGAAGGAATCATGCATATCCTGTTCTTTTATCATTCCCAAGCTTGGTCGCCTCAGATTGACTGCATTGACGAAAGCATCAGCAGTGACAATATTTCCAAGATAAAGGTGACCCCAAGTCTGCAAGCGGTCATGGGTATACTCGAATGGGACACGGTGTATTGAAGTGGAAGAAGCTGAAGTTTCAGAATGCCGCCTAGTATCGAAGATACTGAAATCCGTTGATTCTCTTGATCGAATGATGAGGCGAGTTTTAGATTCTCCTATCTTCTCATTGGCAAGCAGAATCCCTGGAATT